CACAACACTTTAGCCAGTATGAATTCCTTTTCATATGATAATTAGATTGAATTTTGCGTTTGCAGTACATGTACCTGTACATAATACTAAATCATATCTGTAAATAGTGTGCTCTGTTGTAATGCCTAGAATTATAATAGCACATACTGTTTGTCTGTACACGTCTGTATGGTACATGTAGAGTGGCTATCAGACTATTGATTAGTACAGCGTTCAGTCATGTAATTGATTATTTTGCAGACAAATATATCCAGATGGTTTATTTTATAAATGTAGGTTCATTTTAAAGGGGAAGTCCACCCTAATATTAAGTGTTGGTTTTGTTCATATTAAAAAAAGATATAAATTGTAGTACATTTACTCTTTATGAACATGGTTCCCTCAGTGTACAGTGTCATCATGTTGTACCACAGTGATTTGATTGATGAAAATGTACTACGTACTGTACATTTTGTAGCTTAGACACTTTTGCGCCTTGAGCACTTAATTCATGTGGAGTTGGTAAAATAGCTACTCTATATTATTATTATTATTATATTATAATCACATTGTACATGTACATGTGTTGCATGCAACGTTTTTAGTTCATTATTATCCAAGCAGTGTGAAAAATGTCTGAAATGTATGTAATTTTTTTGTACATATATCTAGTTTGAAAATGTCATTAACATTTTGTTCCTTGTAGATATGATTTGAATGTACATGATGTACGTACAGGTGTAGCTATCTAAAAATATTCAGTCAAATGTAATTTACCAATCTAATTTGAAGGAAGCCCAATTAACATGATATACATGTACATGTATACATGTATTGTATGTATCCCAAGTTTATTTTTTTATCTGCAATGTATTTGAATAACTGTTGAGAGCCAGGAGAGTGTTAACTCAAATAATTTTTTACAGAGTCTCTGCAAATAATATATGTAAAGTACCTTTAGTTTTTGTTTCCCTGTTTGCATGCCCCATGGTCCATTCCCATGTTAATTTTAACATCAACCTTGATTTTATCTCCCCCAATTGTGACATCGGTACTTGACTGCACTTCATATGGAATGCCCCATCGCTTGTTGAAATTTGCATGACAAAATTGAACCCAATTGGGTCGCAATTTTTGGTGCGTATGTTTGAAAAACAATTTGTGTTGGTTGTCAAAATAATCTTGTGTGACTGAATTAATTTTCTGACACTCCTACCCCTCTTTTCATTGTAACCTGTGATTGCTGTGATATTACCTGTAACTTACTTTACATATTTTTTATTGAACACATTTTCTTCATATAAATTCTACATGTACTAATGTATGATACAATTGTACAATGTATTTCTTGATGTATATTGGAATATCTTTTTCACTTTTCTTAATGACAACGTCTAACTCATTTTGAACCTTGATGTAATATTCTTGCTTGATTTGTCTTACGGTATTTGTAAATGCTTTAATACTAATGCTTTTCTCCTGCTATTCTTAATTGACATTCTTGCTGTACGTTGGATGTGTGTCTATATTCTGTTTGGGTATTTTAACACTGGTATTCTTCTCTATGCCTCTTGTACAACAATGAACTAACCAACTTGGCTATCTAATTGCATTGTGTAAAATGGATAATATTTGTGATGTGTTGTGCTCCGATTCTTTGCTTACCGTGTGGTGGCTTTATCTATCATTACTTCAAATTGCTAACAATCTCTAAACATCAACTTCGTACTAAAAACAAACAAACACAAAAACAATTGCTACAACTTCTAACACCTTGACACCTTTCTTTTCTTGCTTTCAATGTCTTCTTTATTAAACTGTCCAATGAAAAAAATGTCCAATAACTTTACATTTATTGCTTCTCTTCTTGTTTTCTAATACATCATGATCAACTCTCAATAACCATTTCAAATGGTGAAACACTCACTTAATTCCAAAACACATTGCTATCTAAAACTTTTGCCATCATTTGTAATCACACCCAACTTTTTATATTTCTTCTATAAACTGAACTATTGGTTATTGATTGCTTAACAAATCTTCTTCATGGACATATGACATACATGTATGATATTTCTTAATGTGTAAATGGAACTTCCCTTCTCTATTACTTAATGACAACTTTAAACTTATATTGTAATTGATAATAATATTTGATTTGTTGATTTATTGTCTTGATTTGATATTAATATTTGTGTGGATGTCATAATTTTGGAATATACTTGGGACCTTTGATAACGATTGACTCTTTGTGATTTCTTAATAACATTATTTGCTGTGACTTGTGGGGATACTCATTAATACTTCATATATTTGTCAATGCGTAATTCTGGAATTTAGAATGGGCTGTGTCGCTTGAGGTCACGAAGCCGCCCCGACATTGGCAACTTTTACTACCCTGGTATGATTCAATTCTCATTATAAACAACAACAAAAATCTTATTTGTTTTTTTTGTGTGCATTAATTAAATTATTAATTTATTTATTTTTAAATTGTATTAATATTTATTTATTTATTATTTATTACAATTTATCATTTTAATTATTTTTATTTTATTTTTTTCTCGTTTTGTTGAGGGGGGGGGCACTTTACTGTGCGTGGTCTGCATAACTATTGGCAGATGAAGGCAATTTTGTCCCATATCTAAGATTTATTTATATATTTCAGTATGGCACTATCAAGCTGATAGCCCTACTATTAAAATAGGGCTTGATTTCAATGAAAAATCAGATAGATCATTGTTTGTTTTTTTAAATCATTTTTTAAAATGTCTAATTGGGGAAATCATTGGTCCCAATGTACTCTTGTATATTTCTTCTCATGTCCCAATTATTAACTGGTCAAAGACACACATCTATCCTACTGGAAATTTGAAAAATATAATAAATGAAAATTACAACAACAATTGCTAGTTTAGAGACTTTAATGATTGTTTTATATTAAATCACACCTACGGTACAATGTGCTGAAAAAGAAATGGAGTCAATTTTTCCAACAATTTCTGCATTTTCTCAGCGCATTCTGGATCAAAAGATTAACAAATAAAATGTCACTAAAAGGTTACAATAAACTGCTATGGGTGAACAGTCAGATTAATCATTATTTTATAAAGAGGAGAACATTTCAGAAACCTTGAAAGAAATATTTCGTGCCTTAGCAAAAAAAGATCACATGTACATGTCCACAAAGGGGTTAGCTATGAGGGACTACATCATGATCTGTTTCAAAAGTGATATGCTGCCCTCTGTTGTTTAGTCTACAACATATTAATACAAAGTGTTCTCCAGTAGCTGTTGCACCAGTTAGAATGAGTTCTAAATGAACCCATATTCACTCCCCAAAAGAAGCCATATCAAAAGTCAACAAGAAAATTATTATTTGGTATTTTAATGAGGGCAGGGAGATGAGAGAAACATTTTATTTGTGACAGTTTTATGAAAAATTAGCAAAGGATTAAAACAAATTGTTAATTTGTAGTTAATTGATAACTGTGTATCTTGATTAAGAAAATGATAAATGGGCTATGTGGTGGGGAGGGTGGGGGGGGGGGGGGGGTGCATAGCTTGGGAGAAAATTGATTACATGAGCACCACAGTGTTTTTCTCTTGAGATAGTTTTACATTCATTACATGTATGCTTTTATAATGCTGATAATACTGTCAAACCATAATATTTGGTGTGCATTAAATGTTTATGATCATATGATTCACAAAGTGTTCATGGGGCATTATACATATAATAAAACCACAACTTAATTTTTGTGTTTCATTAAAGGTTGTGCCCTGAAAATATCTCTCATTTACAATGCACTCAAGATGTTGTTTGTTTCTGGCCTTGTAGTAATGATTTATCCTCTCATACATGTAGCCCATAATAAAAAGATGACTCTGTGAATACTTCAAAGTAAAAAAGAAAAAGAAAAAGAAGTGACAGAAATAAATTATAAAATGTCATATTATAGGACAGATATACATGTAAGGCTTAATGTTTGAATTACATGATTAATTATGCTACAAACCCTGTATACACATGTACAATTTCATTGTAGTATGCTAAACATTACAGTAGCTATGCTATTTATACACCTAGCAAACAATATTAGCTGGGTTCCGGCTATGCTATAAATCAGAGAAAACCTGAAAAATTAGCTTTATTTTTCCAGTCGGGCTATTAAGGGATTTTTGAAAAATCACTTTAATCAGGAAAAAACAATTAATTTCCCCCCCCCCCCAAAGAATGTAGTCATTATCATAGTTTGTCTTGTTGCTAAACACCATCCATTCTGTTATTGGCTATGGTATGCTGTAAATTGTTAAAATGGGTTTGCTGTGTTGAAATAGTATTAATCAGTGCAAAAATCTGTGAAAATGTGTGAAAATGGGGGAGAGGCAGGGAGAGGCAGGGGGAGGCAGGGAGAGGCAGGGAGAGGCAGGGAGAGGCAGGGAAATGCTAGGAAGTATTGGGACTTTGTTTGAATGAAACAATAGGAATCCTGTAAGTGCGTGGGAGACTATCACTTTGCTGATTGGCACTAATTTAATTTCTGCACTGATTAATTTGGAGTGGACTATTAGGCTATTATTATTATTTTTATTATTATTATTAATAATTAATATTTTTGAAGTGTGCTATCTTTTGACATGACTAATACATGTATTTTAGAGGAATAATAATCCGCTTTTTTATAGCGTTTAATACGAATGCCTCAAAGCGCTTTACAGATATACTAGAAAAGAAGGAGGAAGAAGAAGAAGAAGAGAAGGAGAAGGTAGTAGAGGAGGAGGAGAAAGAAAAACATCAAGAAAAGTGAGCAAGAAGAAAGAGAAGAAGAGGGAGGAAGATTCTGATGAAAGAAGAAGAAGATCAATCCAAAAAAAAGGAATAGGGTATGAAGGAGGAAAAGGAGGAGTAATAATAATAATGATAATACTCAGTTTTTATATAGCGCTTATTAGAATCACTAAGCGCTTCCAAACTTGGAGATTATTACCCCGGCTTAGGGAGGAAGAGGAGAAGAAGAAGAAGAAGAAGAAGAAGAAGAAGAAGAAGAAGAAGAAGAAGAAGAAGGAGAAGATTGATAAATGTCCATGTAAGCATAATGTACGCACAGAAGAAGAAGATAAAAAGAAAGGAGAAAGAGACAAATCAGAATACCGGTAGATAAATCAAGGGGAAATCTTTTTGTCATATCCTTTGATGCAGTATTTGTTAAAAGATTAAGATAATAAATAAAATAAAAATGTACTGGTACTGGTTTCTGTCTGTACTTTGGAAATTACATGTATGTGATTAACAAACTCCCTATTGTCAATATATGATAAGGCCCAACCCACTCATATAGTGTTGTGAAGTAGTACCATGCCTTTTAGCATGTAATGTGTGTAGTAACTTCAGTTTACGACCTATTCTGTTAACCTTGTGTTAATTGGTAATGAGTTTTGGTCAAAGTCCAAAGAGACCACAAACACTAGAGTAAATCGTAGCGTTGTGTTGTAGATCATTCTACCGTTACTATTGTTTTATGAGGTGATAATCCTTGTTTGAATTTGGAAATAATTTGAAATCATCAGCTGGGATTCTTTCATATAGAGTGTAAGGAACTTGCAGATTGCCTTTTTCATTATTTCAACAACACAAATAGGATTATGGATTCATTATGGCTACGGGACATCTCATGTGCTTTGTCTTCCAAGATTTGTTTCTGTTTTGATTGTAGTTTTGTTTTGTTGCTGTGGAGCTTTTGATAAATGGTGTTAATCAGCCAGTGCAGTATGTGCTTGCAAACTACATGTAACTGGACGATAATGTGCTTTCTACTGCATATTGCTTTTCTTGTGGAATAGTGTCGGAATACATGTTCTTTCTGGAAGTTTCAAAGACCTTTTCTCGCTGACGTTGAATCAAGGTCATAGGTGCTATGGTCTAGTGGATAGGTCACCGACAGTGAATCACATGGTTCACAGTTCAGTTGTGGCTCTCGTGTCCTTTGGCAAGACATCTATCTACTACACTGCCACTCTCCACCCAGGACAATTTGGGTACTTGTGAGAAGTGCCAAAAGCCAATGTTCAGTTCAACACTACATAATTATAGGAATTACTCCCCAAGGAGTGGAGATGGTGAACATATGTGTTACATCTATAGGCTTTGAGTCCAGAGGCCAGGTGTAATAAACATTGTAAAGTGCATTGGAGCATTTAGGTTATGAATATTAATAATAGTAAATACCGTTCCTGTATAGTGCATATGATATACATGTACATGTAATGTCTCTATGCGCTTCCAAAGGACTTTGAGTATTATTACCCTAGCTTTAGCTCTGGCAATCGTAGTGCGCAGTGTATTCAAGGAATGTATCCTACCTGGTACTCACCTACTACACCTGGGTCGAGTGTGGCAAATGTAGATTAATGTCTTGCTAAAGGACATTTGTGCTTTATTATCTTTAGCTTGACTCTTTCAACCAGATCAATTGCCGTGGCTATTCATATTATTTTGTGCAGTGAGTTCACAAACTTGGGATGAAGTCAATTTACCTCTAGAGCCTAATGTGGTTCAGGATGAATTTAGTTTTGATATTCAAGTTGAACTTGAGGTTATTGTGTAATTCAGGTAAAGCTGTTGTGAGCAGTTTTCAAAAGTCTTGACTCGGTTGGCTAAACTTTCATATGTGGTATTGTATTGTATTGTATTACTTCAGGCATTCAGTAAAAATATAACAAGATACGTGATCATAAAAGACGAGATTAGAAACAAAGTAATACATCAGTAAAATAGTAAGGGAGGTAAAGAGAAAAAATTTAGTAGGTAAATGACTAGAACACCAATCGTTATGGAAGGATATGCATGCCTTGTCTTGTATTTCTGTGATAAAACGATTTGGCTGTCGAAAACCCCTGTTTACCATCCAAAGCATGTGCCACGTATTGTCATGCATACCATTAGTGGTCAGGGATAGAATGGGCTTTAGAATGCCACATGCTTGACCGATGTTCCACATCCGGCTTTGAGGGGGCTATCATTTGGCCATTTCAAATGCGCTTGCCCACTTTCAAGACAATTAATGACCAGGGGGGAATGAGGCAAAATGAGTGGCCTGCTAACTAACGTCTTGTAGCACGTGATGTAACGATTGGGCAAAGAGTCCCCCTCCCCCCCCCCCCCCCAACTAAAAATTTAAAAATAAATAAATAAATAAATAAATAAAAAATAAAAAGATAATAAAAAAATACCTGGTAAATAAATTTATTGAAAAAATAAAACAAATAAAACAAATTATATATGAAGAATACAAATAAAATACATACAAATGAAAATGAAACAAAATCAATAAATGATTATAATACATAAATTAATTTATTAATTAAAAATCTTGGATAATAATGCTTATTCACTGTAGTCACACCTGGGACCCGTTTCACAAAGCCTTTTTTCAATGACAAATGACAAAAATCAGTGACAAATCTGCTGATAACAAATTAGAAGCAAGGATTTCAGTAGCTTATAACGAAAAGTGTCATTTGTCACCGATGACAAGTTTTGTGAAATGGGGCCCTGGAAGCAGTTTTATGCATGAGTTATCAACCTACCAGCAATAGATAGATGAATATGATGGTGGGTATTATAATAAAGACATGTACATCAACAAGTCCAGTGAAGAAAATATTTAGTAAAGGTCAGTAATTTCCTTTTAGAGACTCTTATTTTCTTTAAAAATATAATTTCTGTCTTTCTATCATTGACCTCTACATCTAAATCGATGCTTTCCTGACAATAGACCAATTCATAGTAAAATTTTGTTACGGTTGGCACGATTAAATCACCTTTATTTATTAAAATCAAGAATTTTGTTTGTTTTGCTAGTTGAACAGTTTCCTGTTTTTACCTTGACCCTTTTTATTTGGGGGGAAGTTCTTGATCAGGATCATGACATACCTGACTTCCTGTTCTGTGTTTTATATCAGTATTGTGATGTCGACACCGGGGTTTTGTTATGAATTACAATATTGAATACCGGATATTTGGATTGGATGTGGTCTGATCATCTGATGTTTGTTTGTCTAATATCATTCCTTCATATCATTCCTGCCATGAAGAACATAGTTTGAAGTACTGTCCTCAGCTCTGGAGAATATTACTTATGGCCCGTTTCTACAAATTGTTTCTTGCAGTTTTTCCACCATACGCAATGGTTTGGTTCTATCAAGCTATTAATCTGTGTTAATACACCAGAGTTTGATTTTCATGGTGGACTAATTTGTTTTTATGTTTGACCTAAATACCTATCAGGAATCCCAGTACAGAAGTTCTTCCATGCGTTTTGTAGCTATTGTTTTGACCAGAGGACTTTGTACCATGTATGAACTTCAAGGCTGCTTTAGAATTGATCATATGTGGTTTTAATATTCAAACTAATCAACAAATGTTGCTGTGCTGTGTTCAGTTTGGAGATAATTCTGCGCATGGATTAATCGATTTGTGAAACATCATCTTGTAATGCTGTTCCACTCAAACTGTAATCAACTTTGTACTTGGATGAATGAAGTCTTCGTAACTGTCCTGAGTTGTAGTCTGAACCAGTTTGGAAGTAAAGCTGCACAAGGTCGGACCGGCCTTCAAGACTATCCTCTTAACATCTTTTAACCCATTCTGCAATAACTCTTCACATTAATAGGACCATGAGGTGTCTAGCTGTAAGGTCTAGAATGAGTTGCTCTGAAATACTCTAACCAACTTTGCTGTGCCCGTGTGCCGTGCCTAATTTGGGATCTAACCTCGCTTGTAGAGGGAAAGGACTTTGAAGCTATTCTGTAACGTTGTCCACTCCTCCTTGTCCCTTCTGTTGCTATGCCTGGAATGCTACGGTCAGCTCTGAACAGGAGCCTTCGTACAGGAAGCGAGAGCAGCGGTGGGGAGCTCAGTCCAGTGAACCACCTGGCAGAATGGAGAGAGCGATTGGAACGCTCTTACCAAGAGGACGATGACGGTAAGCGTAAAGGTCATATCAGAGAATCGGGAGTCTCTAGGAACCATGTTAAACCCACATGTGTATGTATCTTGGTGTGCCCAGAGATACACATACAGTACGTACTGTACAGTGTACATGTAGGTCTTAGCTTCTATAAAGGTACTCTAATTATTATGGTGTCAAAGGCACATAACACTATGAACATAACTGACAAAGAAAGCGGACATAATATACAGTTCCTCGGGTAGACAAAGGAACATCCCTTCACTGCTATTACATGTATGTACAAATGTGTAGAACAGGTGTCACATGCACGTTCATCCGTTCTACACTGTATATTGTGTCCGCTTTATCAGTCATGTTCATAGTGTAAAGAACCTGAGAACACTGTTGAGCAAACCTGTCTTTGAAAATCTGTATGAGCATTGTTGAAAAACAAAATAAGTTTATAATTATTCATTCTACTTGTTCTGTATGTATCCCCTCGTGTAACTGTTTATCTTTTAAAGATGAGAGTAATATTGAAGCTCTTCTTTTGCTCAGTTCCAAGATGATACTTTCAGTATTTACTCATGTACAAATCATCTGGGTATGAATGAATGTACAAATCTGTTGGTTCATAATATTGACAATGACACGTTTATACAATGTTTCTCTTTTTAGCGCAGTATTTTTTACTGACTACTGTACCTGCTAACTTTATCAACTTCTTTATGTATTCTTCACAGATTCATTGTTGCTAATTTGCATGTTGTTGTATTGAATGTACTATACATGCATGTCTTCTCTAATAATAATAATTCTCTAAAATAGTTTCAATGTGGTTATTGTATGCTGTGTGCATGAAAAGTAATTTGCTCTCTAATGGAATACCCTTCCCCCTTCTGATCATAACTCATAGTATATCTGCTTGATTTTCTTGATAATACTGGATATAATTCTTAATACAGTGAAGCCTGTCTATAAAGACCACCCAAGGGAGACAAGAGAAGTGGTCTTTATAGACAGGTGGTCTTTATGGACAGGTGCCTATAGTACATGTTTCAATGAGAAACCATTTTCAAGGAAACAAAAAAAATGTGGTCTTTGTAGACAGGTGGTCACTAAAGCAGGTTTAACTGTATACTATATATATATGTTATATATAGTACATTCTTAAAAGTAGATGACTTATTTTCTACTTTCTTCTTTATGTACTCTACACATTAACATGTAGTACATTGCAAAGACTTTATTACAGAGAATCACAAATACACAAATTACAAACTTCTTTGGTAATGCACTGGTTTACTACTAATACATTATCTGATGCTTTGAAAGAAATGTTACAAAATACACAATTACAATTCAAGGAATGCCTCTAAGTTTCACCAGTAGAAAGTATCTTCCAGCACTGTTGCAATTTCTCTTCGCCATTTTGGCCATAAACTTTGGAACACATTACCACATTCTTTACAATCAATTCAGTTCACCAAATCGTTTAAATGTAAACTTAAGCAGCACTTCTTGTCATTGTATAGTTCTTCTTAAATGATGTATTGTATTGTATGCATTGTTTATTCCTTTACTCTTTTCCAGCAGATGTACCTTTTTATTGTTAATTATATTGTGACACGCTCAGGGTGCGCCCATTCATCATCAAGCCCCATTGGCTATTACGGATGCACCCCCTTTTTTTTAGAGTAACATATTCATCCAAAGTATTTATATTTAGGATATCGAGGACCAATACAAATTAAGACTTTATTTTTATTTATTAAATATTAAAATAGAAAGATGTTTCAAGAGATTTTAATACACATTTTCATTTCAACTTTGTTTAATAAATGCACAAAAGAACAGAAGAAAGAGGAGAAGAAGAAGAACAAGAAAGAGAAGAGAAAGAAGAATGAGGAGGAGGAGCAGGAGGAGCAGGAGGAGAAGAAGAAGAAGAAGAAGCAGGAGGAGAAGAAGAAGAAGCAGGAGAAGAAGAAGAAGAAGAAGGATAGAAGAAAAGGGAAAGAAAGAAAGAAAGAAATAACTGAGTCACCTGTCTATTTATTTGTAACCATACTTGCTACTGTTCTTTTGGCCTGAGCTTTTCAATACATCTTATCAAATGGTTAATAAATAATGTTCAATTTTCAACAAGTGTTTATACCTTAATGAAAAAGTGATAAAAAAGAAGTACCTTTAGAATGTTTAAATATTGATTTAAGACTGTTCATTAAATTTTGTACAGTTATTGACTTAAGATCTGGGTCCTGTTTCTTAAAACGTGCTAGTGATAAAATTATATGACATATTTGCTATCAGCCAATGAAATGCAAGAATTTATAGTAGCTTATATCTGGGCTTGCGACGTGTCTCTGATAGCAAGTTTGTCTTTTAAACAGGGCCCTGGATATGTATCCAGGCTTGAGAGTTGCATAGCTTAATGTCCCCCCTCCCCCTCTTAATGTCCCCCCTCCCCCTTTTAATGTCCCCCCTCCCCCTTTTAATGTGCCCCTCCCCCTCTTAATGTCCCCCTCCCCCTCTTAATGTCCCCCTCCCCCTCTTAATGTGTCCCCTCCCCCTCTCAATGTGTCCCCTCCCCCTCTTAATGTGCCCCTTCCCCTCTTAATGTCCCCCTCCCCCTCTTAATGTGCCCCCTCCCCCTTTTAATGAAAATAAAATGAGACTGCAATACTTTGGGTACATTCTTGAACCAATTTTTAAAACCTAGAATCATGATTTTGAAACACAAAGTTTAAAAAATGGTTGCGTTCATGCATTTTTGCTGGATGTAAATTTGAATGTTTAAGCTCTGGGATATGAAATATGGAAAATGGTGCTCTTTGAAACATGGTTTGTCTAAATCACTGTTTCATGCATGTATGGAACAGACCGTGAGTCAATAATACAGAGCCTGAATTAGTATAAGTGCAGTCTATCTTCAACGGAAGCCTTACCACCCCCCCCCCCCACCCCCTCCCCACAATCTTAGATTTGTTTGAGATACCGGTACTTATCGCAAATATTGTAAAACTGGTTATCAGTAAGCCAACACTCAGGACACATGTAGTGCAAATAGTCACTATAAGCCAGATCTGTGTGAATAAAACAAATTGTAGTATCGCAGAAGTGCTTATTCATGTACATGTAACTTGAAGACTAAGTTGAACTTTTTTTTTAAAAGAGGGAAAGGCAAAAAGGTGCTATCGATGACAATGCTGTATCAATTGTGATCCGGTGACAATTACTCCCGGCTTCAAATCATTGAAGATACAGGGTTAGTGTTAAGGTAGCAAGTTGGTGTTAGATTAGATTTAGGCCCTTTAGGGTATGCACCAATTATGCGTTGACTAGTCTACTCCACAAGTCATTTTTAATCATTACTGAGAGTGTATTTAAGCAGTAATATCTCTTTGTAGTAATATTTGAAGCTCATACTTTGAATAGAGTGAAACGACATGGAACCCCTTACATCAAGAGAAAAATATGTTAAAGCTTATCTGCCATAGTTTACAGGAGGGATTAGATCGCTCTGCAAGGTCACTGGACAGGTGGTTATCTCATCAACTCAGCTCTCAGTTAACATAAGAAAAAGAGGATCATGGGGGACCAATGGTCACCGATTAGGCATTGTTTGTTATATAGAGGGCGCAAGTAGCTACCAGTAGTGCAGTGGGCCTTGATTGGCACAGTTTAGTAAAAGGGTTATTTACATACATGTATGTAGTGTCTGTTTCAGTGTTGATGTTAAAATATTTTTAAGTTTAGGATATTTGCTGTGAAGCAAATATAGCCAGAGCATGTGTCTTAGAACCTTTATAGCTACTGTATGTAGCTTTGCAAGTTTGCATTGTTGAACAGTTTGAAGCCATATGTTGTCTTTATTGTTATGTCTTTACCAGGTTCCCATTTAAACCGTCAGTCTAACTCACCGGTTAGAATGCTTGCATCAAAGCCCAAGGAGCGGGAAATGTATGACAGCTCTCCTAACTACAGCCCATTGCCAGGTAAGAGCTAGGTCTATGATAATATTTGTATGATAATGAAAAGGAGGAGATGGAGGATGATGATGATGATGATTAAGGGGGACTGGGGACTATGATGAGGATGATGATACGATGAGAAGGGGGAGGAGGATGATGATGATGATGATGATGATGATGATGATTAAGGGGGACTGGGGACGATGATGAGGATGATGATACGATGAGAAGGGGGAGGAGGATGATGATGATGATGATGATGATGATACAATGAGAAGGGGGACTGGGGACAAGGATGAGGATGATGATACGATGAGAAGGGGGAGGATGATGGTGATGATGATGATGGTACGATGAGAAGGGGGAGGATGATGATGGTGATGATGATCCGATGAGAAGTAGGAGGAGGATGATGATGTTGAAGATGATGATGATGATGATAGTAACAATGATGATAATGATGATGTTGAAGATCATGATGGGAAGGAGGAGGATGATGTTATGATAATAGTGATGGTGGTATTGATGAATAATGGAGACATCATGGTGAAGATCTTACTGAAGGTAAATGATGGGTGAGTCGATGATGATAATAGTGAATGGTGATGATGAATGATTAATTTACTATGATCAATGATTATGATGATGATGATTGTATTTATTGCCATTATATGACATCTATTGAAACATATTTCAGCTAAAAATTATTTAATCTTTGCCTGCCTCATCAATCATATATTACATCTATTCATCATCTTTAATTTGAACTCTGTAGGACAAGTAATTAATCTTCATTTGTATTTGAAGCAGATTGATAAGCAGTCTTTATGGCAGATTATATACCTCACTTAAGTAATCCAGCCATCTGATTGGTCGAAATTGCATTCATAAACTTCAACTGTTCCTGTAAAATTCCCGGTAACCATGCTTAAAACATTTAATATTTTTAATAACCATGGTTATTAAAAAAATAGGTCAGTCTCCATGGTTACCCCATAGGTTTACATGTTAAAAAATGGTTTGAGCGATGGAGGATACCGTATGTGTGCGAATAATTGGTCGGTAATTTCAATACAATTGAATCTCGATCGATCTTACCAACAATTTTATCTTGCATTGTTGACATGAAGACGAAAATAAACTTCCAAAAACAAAAAAACAACATCTGCCGATAGATCTTGATCTAAGTTCATGCCAATATGCATTGCAAAAGTAAAAGAAGAGTCCGTATATGGAGCTTTTGCGAAGCATTCATCACACGCAAAGCCGGTTTCAATCCATTTTAATGTATATATAGTACAAAACTGCCATGCATGTTAATAACGCGCGATGGCCGAGAGGTCTGAGGCGCTGACTTTGGATACACCACCTTTTGTACGCAAGAGTTCGAATCTCATCTTGGACCAAAAAAAAAAGTATTTTTTATTTTTTATTTTTTAGTCTATTTTTTTTTGGCATATAAAAGTATTAATGACTGCTTTAATATTCGAGAAATAGTTGTTTTTATACGCTCTCGGGAAGGTTACAATTGGGCTATTCCCCTCGGCACGCCTCGGGTAATAGCACAATTCTAACCTTCCCTTGAGCGTATAAAAACAACTATTTCTCTCAAAGCAGTCATTAATACTATACTAATATCTGTTTATCAAGAGATGTTGCTCGCTATAAATAATTCGCTTCTAATGAGTTATTCATTAACTTCATGAAGATGCGCTAATGTCCTTCATGTACAAAGAACCTTGCAAACTCATTATCTACCCACTATTCTTATAAAGGTTTACTGCTACTTCAATCAGTGAAGGATTAATAAATGCTTGTTGCTTTGAGATAAAGGAGGAAGAGCGAGAGAGGCATTGAGTAGGAAGAGTGAAAGGCCATTGAGAGAAAAGACGAGAGTTAATGGAGTGGGAAGGAGAGAGGTAGGGAGAAAGGATAGGGGAAGGTGAGGTAGGAGGGAGAAATTAAGAGAGAGGGGGGGGGGGGGGATGGCGAACAGGGAATGAGTTTAATTACAGTGGCTTTCAACTGTCGTGTCAGTTTAATTCATGTGTTTTTGACAGATCACCATTCTTTTTTAAACAAATAATTTATAATTTTGTCACCAAAATATTATGAAATGTACTAAGAAACCGGTTTGTGTATGAGGTGATAGTACAGAAGGGTCAATTTTAAAACATGTTTAGGGATATGTTAGCGACTGCACCCCTCCCCCCCCCCCTCCACATCATACACCATAGTACGATTTTTTTTGCGATATCGCCTTTAGCTTGACAAATCCCAAATCGTTGATGTATTAAGTACTTTATAAACGCAGAATATTATCATTATTAGCAATCTGGAGCGAAATCAATGCTCTTCCCTTGGATTGCCCTTGAGGCTCTCAGATTCATCTTGTCAGGTAGCAGTCACGTCTACAATCGTACCATCGGTGGTTCGTATTAAAGGTGAAGTAGTTACCTTCATCTTGTTCGGTAGCAGTCACGTCCGTAGACCATCCATCGTACCGACGGTTTGGTTCGTAAGATGAAGTACATGTAGTTGCCTTCCTCTTGGCTGTGTTGATTAGAAGAGTCTTTCACACTAGAGCAAAATTACATGAAACTTGTATAATAGAATGTACATCGAAACCTGTATATAATAATATTATAGGCTGGTGGTCTTTATGTATAGGTTCCTTTTAATAGTACAAGTTTCAATGACAAACACAATTCAAGGGAAATGATAAATGTGGTCTTTATAGGCAGGGGCTTTTAAGTACAGGTTCCTTCTGTACAGTGTCAATGAGAAACCATACTCAAGGGAAATGATAACGTTTTGTCTTTATAGACGGTCAGTCTTTCTATACAGGTGGTCGCTAAAGCAGGTTTGACTGTAAAAAGAATCCTTGTATGTAGTTTCATCTACAGTACACTGTTGCCCTGTAAAGTTGGCATGAATTTTGAAAATCTCTTTTCATGAAGAGATTGAGAAGATATAAACTTAAAGGTAATACAAAGTTTTGGGAAATTTTGAAAATTGGGTGGATAGTGATTCTTTACAATTTTAATATATTTGGATGCCCCTGTGAATGTATTATAAACACTAGAAAATGTAGCCCCTAAAACAATTCTGATTTCGAGAAAATTTGAATATAAAAATTTACTGCTGCTCCCGGTAAATTTCGATAAATTCCAAATAGCGCCTACGGCCGTACAATGGTAGCTGCGCCCATGAAAATCTCAGTATATGTAGTTGAGATTTATTATTTCCAAACAGGAATAGCTAATTGGTCGATTTTAGTCAAGAAACATTGTTTTATAGCTTAATTAATATCTTGACTTTGAGAGGGAGCTATACAACATAAAGAGTTTATTATTTACAATCTCATAATTTTAGACTCGATTTCAACTGCGACAATGATAACTGAATATTGTAGGATCGCATATGCCTCCAATATGTTCATTAGAACCAAATTCATGACCCCATACCAAAACTTTGTATTACCTTTAATCTATGAAGAATAAATCATATTCTCACCATCACTTCATAAAAAGAGGTACAAGGGTTTATTCCGACATGATGGGCAATAATGTATATGATAGGAGCATACACACTGGATAAGAACATCGTATAAAGAAACGTTGTGTGAAGAAACTAGTTTTAAAGAGTTCTCTTGGCATGACAGCTGGCCAGTCATGAGTGTGCACTTACAATAAGCTCCGCCCAGTTATACCGTTTTCAAACGATGTTACATCCAGCCTAGAACGTGACACACATTCTTTGAGTTTTGTTTGAAACAATGCTCGCTCATGTCTTCCTTTATACAACATTTATTATATCAAGTTCAACTTAAAGGTTTTTGATCAAAACGATATTCAAAAATGCATTTTGCTATATTAGGTGTTTTATTATCCAATGTCCAGACTAGAAAAGAACAAAATGAATTACTTATCATTATATACATACATGTAGCTGTTAGGTTTTCGTCTAGCCATACAATAGATTTTGGGCGTCTGAACTGGGTGTACGTCTAGCCTTTGAGCATGGGCCCTGGTAAATCTACATGTATGCTTTAAAGTGAACCAGTATCATTGTTGAAGATTGATGAGAAAACTGGAATTTTTGTAAAAAACGTTACATTAACCCTCTACTGTACTAACCCTCTATTTAAACATGCACACAATTCTGGCAAAATTATCAAACCACTAAGATATTCATGGTTTTCTTTGAAGGAGTCACACTAAAACTGAAACTGAAACTGTGCAACACCCTCTAACGGTAAATTCTCCCAACCAGTTTTTAAGTTTTCCCAAACGTTTTTCCATGAAAATAGGATATAAAACGGGCTTTTAAAGATCTTTCAACACTTAAATGTTTGGAATGCTTAATAATTATAAAGCCAATTCATTGTTTTTGTGTCAATTTACATTCACCTAAAATTTAATTAAATAACAATAATATAGTTTGGAGAATTAAGGAATCGATCACATAAGTTTTTTCCCAATTTATATCATTAATAATGGTCTGTTTTCACTCAAACTTTTAGATCATTTTAATTGTACATCTACATGTAGCATTGAAGTCACTTCCTTAGCACCATTTTCTCTCATCTGAACAATGTTACAAAGTCCCTTTAAGGTATCTTTGATGTATTACAGTGTACACAGCAGAGGTGAGGCCTTCTAAGTTGTAGCTTGCCTTGGACCCTAGTAGATCTACATGTATGCTTTGGGGTATCTTTGATGTATTATGCATGCATAGCTTAGCAGAGATGAGCAGAAGAGAATCAGATTGAAAATGCCTAGGGAGAAAAATGGGCAAGGGTAGACATTAAAGGGCAAGTCCACCCTGATATCAAATTGGTTTTAAAGGCATCGTTTAACAATGTTAAATCTGAGATGCACGACCCTACATTTTATCAGTGTCTGTGATATGGTGTAATATTGAAGCCCTAAAAAAATCGCACTTCAAAATGATCAAGAAGTGCCTCAAAAAGTAAAATTCTTTGAGTGACCAGTTTTACCATACGTGTTTTCCCCAATAAACTGTAGTGTTATGAAAACCGTTAGGAAAACGCAAAATTTGGTTTCAATTTCCAATCATAAATATCTTGAAAATCAAACAGGCGATCGG